CTGGCAAGAATTCGTCTGCTCTAGGAAACTTTGTGCGCATGCGTAAAATGACATAGCAGCTCGATTTAGCCCCAGTTCCACAACTCACGGTTAACTCTTAACCAAAGTTCAATTTGTTTCTCATCTGTTTCTAATTCGAGAATTGGAAAGAGACAATGAATAAGTTGAACCTCGGTTAAGAGTTAACCGTGAGTTGTGGAACTGGGCCTTAATGACGGAGCAATACGGAATGTGGGTTTTGACGAATAAATTATAATTTTCATATATATTTTTGTGTAAAGGGTTTTAAAAAAATAATATAATCGTTCAGAGAGGTAGCATTCGCGAAAGCCATTATAATGACATACAGTATCTAAAAGGTTAAAAGAGGAACAATTCATTACCTTAATTTAGGAAAAAATTTGAAACGCATTGTAAAACGGGACAAAGTGTTAAAATTTGAGATTGTCCCGCCTAATTTGGGACGGTTGGTCACTAAGATGTACAGGAGTCCCAAATTAGGCGGTTAGAAGTAACGTGCAACTGCGGTACTTTTTATCAATTCTTAACAAAGGTACTTATTAATAATATTCTTGAGGCTTTCACGGGTGTTTCCTATATGAACACGGAGAAAACCCGCGAAACACAAGATTGTCGTACTTATTAATAATTTATTGCATTTATCAATAATTTTTGTTTTCATACACTTTCCTTTCTACTGTTGTTAATTCATAAAAAAACATTCTAATAACCCGTGTAAACTTGCGTATCCTATTTCAGTGTCAGAGACGTCCAGCTTCTAATAATGAAAAAAAAAAACCATTTGTCGCTGAATGCCGATAATAATTTACGAGATCCTGAAGCTCAATTTCGAACTTGCAGTCGGGGGCGTTTACTAGAACTTCTTCGAAAATCGAAAGATTAGTTAGTGTTGTTATTTTTCCGGGTTGATTGACGTTTTATGAGTTTTTCTCTCGAAAGAAAAGAATCCGCGTTTGCAGGACGTAACAACTTCCATTTTCAAATTTTAAATGTCACACTATATACTGTCCCTTTGAAACGATGTAGCAAAATCCCACTTCGTGCATAAAATTTGCACTACACCGTAGTCACGGAAACACGGTACACCGAACGAATTCGTTTATCACCATTCATAGATAACGGTACACCGTGTCTGAGTGTTGCACTAGTGGGCGATAGTGCAGCCAAGAGAAAACACTATAAGATTAGATGACAAATCCGGAGGGAAATAATGTTGCAATAGTGGGCGATAGTGCAGCCAAGAGAAAACACTATAAGATTAGATGACAAATCCGGAGGGAAATGAGACAAGAGAAATTGAATTTCACATACATGATGTAAAATTCAATAATAAGATATAAAATATATATTTAATAATACAAATGATATTTATTAAATATTTAAAAATATATAATTATAAATACTTACAATTATGAAGCAAATATTTTTATCTTGAAATGTCTATATAATAAATATTTGTTTTATAATTACAAATAGTTTTTCCCGGCGATTTCTTTCTCTCTTTCTCTTTTTCGCTCTCATAAGTACATTGACTCTCCAAATGTTTAATTATGAAGACTTACATAAAAACTTACGTTAAATATGGTTCAAGTTTGTTGTGTGTAAATTAGCTGGATGAATTATGTTAAAAAATTGAATGTTTTGATCAATACATGACTGAAATTTATTTGTATTTTTTATCGGAATACTATGCAAGTGTACCGTATTTTTATGACGTGACTCCGTTAAATCTAGGTACATTGCAACATTCCTATAGTATTTCTTACCGTTATACACTTCTACATTACAGTCGTAACTGTAGAAATACGCATCGAAATTCATTTTTTCGAAAAAGTATAGAAGGATTGAACCTTTATTGGATTTTTTGTAAGGGCGTGATGAATTAAATTCGATACGACTATTGTATCTCATAATGTGGCTACATTTTTTCGTTGCGCATGAATCGTTGGCAATTCTTAAAAACATTTTATCTTTGGTGACAATATCTGCAAAATATACTAATGTAAAATTTAAGTTTCTTTTACATCTACGTAGTACATAAATTATAATACTTACCAATGTAACATGGTGAAGTTTTGAATAATATTATGGTATTAATGAAGAAATAATACTTTAAACAATCAATAGAAGTAGTATCCGGCCGTGATACTACTTTCCACACGTTTATATTTGAAAAATAAATATATATACTGCAATTAAAACCTGTATAAACAAATTTTAAACAGAATCAGTTAAACATTTTTCATAGCAGAAAGACAATAAATATACAGAATCTGTAATATTTGACGATATTGGCAAATTGCCGGTAGAAATCTGACAAAATTTACTGATAGGCTGATGGTAGATTGACAGAATCGAGATAGATGTGTCGTACGCAATGTTGTCGTCAGATTATCGACATCAGAAACCAAGCAGAATTTATGTTAACATAAATATATAAATAAATCCGTATAATAAATCAAACTAACCAAGACTCCTTATAAATCAAAGAATTGGAAAGAATACGGCCGTTAGGAGTCAAGCGTAGAAGACGTCGCGCAAATAATACTTATGAAGCTTGAAACTTCTTTATTCAATAAACGCGCTTACATGTTTTGGCTCATTTTTGAGCCTCAAAGCAAACACAAACTAACATTATAAAGTAAAAGTTATCCTGTTATGGTGAGCTTCTCTACATCGAGAATTTAAATGCCAGAATTAAACTGATATGGAGGGTATGGAGGGGCTTCCGAAGGCCTACCTCCTGATTATAGATAAATTATAAAAGCTCGAGTTGTTGTTACGTCTTGTTAGCCGGTGTCGTTCGTACACAGTAATACGTCCTTCTGACGAGATTTTTTATAGCTTTACAATTTTCATTAATACTAGCTAATAACTAAAAAGTGACTCACTGTGTTTGATACCGACTGGCTAACATATCAGGTACCGGTTCTTGAATTATTCATGGTAATGTTTGCGATACGGTGCTTTGTAATCGTGGTGACCGCCCTTATTTTCAGGATAATTAATTATATATATTCTTAAGGGGATGCTGGAGTGACGGTCGAAGTTAATCAAAGTCGATAGTACAGACTTTTTTACATTCCAAATT